AAAGATGTAATTTTATTTATTATTCTAAAAAGACTCAGAAATAAAGATAAAAATACATCTAATACTTATATATTATAGAATGATTGCAATAAAAGCTATCCTCGACATATACCAAATGGAATAAAATATCATTTATATACTAAATATATAGTATATGGTTATTTTTATAAACTTTTTTATTCCAGGTTAACTGTTTACCAGAAGATGCGATTTTTCTATGACCATCTTTAAATAATTTAAAAGGATCTAATTGACAGCCTCCATATAAGATAAACTGACCAAGATTAGTCTGTTCTTGCTCACTAAACATTTTTCTATCAACATAAAGACGGGTCTGGGGGAAGACACTGCGAAAGACAGTAACAGAAACCTGATAGTTACAATAAACTTTCATATCAACATAAGTAAAAATAAATGACGCATCTGTTTTTATCATTTATATCATGCATCATGTGATAACTGACTAGTTCTAAAATCAAGAATATTTAAGCAAGTATCATTATTATTGAATATTTTGGGTTTTGATTAAAACCTGATAAATATGGGGTCCTCTGTGTAAATATCAGCCAATTCATATTTATAAGTAATTGGATTACGTGAAGGATTAATTGATGAAGATATTTTAGTATACCCATAAGAATTGTATTTGGCATCATCATATTGTTCTGGATTTTTGGTCAGATTTTCTTTATTATAGTAATTAGGATCACGGGGATTAGCAGTGACAAGATAACCTTTAGCATCACACTTAATGTTAAAGCTGGGAATATAGATGTATCTCCTGTATTCTTTTTTTCTGGCCTATTTATCAAAGTTACCACCTATGCTATTTATATCAGAAAAAGAGATGGGCAGATTATCATTTGTTGACCATTTTAATGCTTCACAAGCCACTGTTCTGAAGATCAAATTTCCTACATCTTTCAACTGTTCAATACAATTATCATAAAAATTTAAACTATTCTTGATGTAACAGGTAAAAAATGGTAAGAACATCTGGTGTTTGAAAGGTTATTGCATTTCCTGATAATGTGCCTCAAAGCACGAAAGTAACCAAGATGATGAAAACTTTGCCAAACATGATAGCTTTTAGATAGATATAATTAATTCTAACAAGAATAAAAAAAGTTTAACGCAAATTTATTGATTTATTTACTTGATTTACTTGCAATGTTATGAATTTATTTAAATAAAAACAAGTGTTTTATTTGCTAAAAAATTTTTATTTCCTCTAAATATTTAACAGAAAGGCATGTATACAAGAAATCATATATAATCAATATATCTATCTTCTTGTAATACCAAAACATGTAAAAAGAACAGTTTAAATTATATGCAAGAAATTTACTATATATTACATGAATAAATATATATTACTATGTTGATTGATATCTTAAACTATTCTTTCTAGAAATAACTCAAAGAAATATAAACAAAAAAAAAATTCAATTTGCTTTGCGAAAAATTACCTAATTATTCATCGCCAGATTAAAATAATTATAATTTGTTAATACGTATTTAACATAAGATCACATTCTAATAAAACACCGCATTTAAATTTCGATTGATATAAAAATGAAATAACATATTTAAACTTTGTTCTGACGAAATTTTAATCTGATTCACATACAGTATATTTATGATGCATGGTATCAGTTGTACAAATTAATTTGAATTAGGATAAAAAATGATAAGTTATATGATGCAACTTTTCCTAAATATATTAATATCTGTGAGCATATATGTGTTTTATTTTCATACATATAACACAAGTACACAAAATAATTGATCACAATTTTTTAGATTAAATATTCGAAATTCAATTAATATTTGTCTATATACAAATTTAACATAGTGAATCTTAATTTGATATTTCACCTACATATTCCAACAGTACTTCAACAGCACTTCAACAGTAGTTTAGCGATTTTATATATGTTTATTAAGAAAAAGTCAACAGCATTTTAACAGTGACTTAATAGCAGTTATCATGTGTGCCATTTTAATACAACACATAGCGGTAATTTAATTTCATAGCTGTTAGATAACTTAACAGTCTCACGAGTATACACGTTGGCAAAATCCTAACTTACTATAGTTTGGAATTTGTCCATCATCCCAAATCCCAAATCCCAAATTCTAGCAAAGCTAATATCTTAAAAACTTTATTAATAATCTTTA